AGACATTTGTTGCTATGATCTATTCTTTACAGCATGTGGATTAAAAAGAGGGGAAGTGGTCGTAGGTAATTCCATACTCCAAATTTGAGAGGATGATGAGGAACTTTTTATCAATGTTGAATTAGGGTAGGGAGATACTGAGTTTGATTTTTAAAATGTTGCATCCTTGAACTACCAATAAGATATTTAGGGAGTGGGGCATAATGCTTTGTGCTTTTGAATCAAACTGACTTGAATATGAATTTGGGCTTTGCCGCTTAACCATATTTGTAATTGTGGTTGAGAAAACTTAATCTCTTTTTGCTTCAGTTTCTTCACATGTGAAATTATTTAATAGTTTACCTCAAAGAGGTGTTAGAATGAAATATAAATAAAAGCAATGTAATATAGACATGAAGAATATAGCATGGTGAATTATTGTTGCTTGATTATTCAGTAGCTGTTCGTATGGATGAACTGAACTCTTGCAAGTATATCACTAGAGTTCTTTGAAGAAGTAGGGATGATTAGATTTGAGAGTCACATACACAAGGTTGTTACCAGAAGCTCTGGGAAGAGAAGAGATCATTGTAAAAAGACAGTATGCAGTATTAGGCATCTATTAGCCTTGGGTAAACATCTACATTTATTGGTTGTGAGGAGGAAAAGATGGAGAACAAGCAATCAGAGAATATACCAGGACCTAATCTTGTTCTTTCATCTATTTCCATTTCCCTACCCATTCTGTGCATTAGAGTCGGAGTGTATCATGGCTTTGGAAATCTATTGTAATCATTTAGCCTCTGCAAGAATCTTGAAACATCTCTAATGGTGTTGAGCTCACTGTTTCATGAGTCAGCTGATTCTGTTTCAGATGTCTTTATTAGAATGTATTTCTTCATATGTATCCTTAACCCATTATCTCTTAAAATTTTGTGCCTTATTTAATTTCTTTCCATATTAATGGATTAGTCAGTCTCTTATGTTAGCCACCACTAGGATCCCTTCTTCCTTCTTCAAAGCTCCCTCTATCTCCTAGTACAGAGAGGTGTTCATTGCAGCAGATGTAAAGAATAAAATCATTTTTTAAGTTGCTTTTATATCTTTACATGGTTTCTCAGGTCTGTCACACAATATTTTAAAGCTATAGCCAGAAACAAATGAGAAATGGAAAGCTAATCTTGAAAAATGAATATTTTAATTATTTTCACATGTGTGTACCATTACCTTTAGCTCTCAACATGGGGGCTCCCAAATTTCTTGAAGTTGTAACTCATATACTTGCCTCTTTTTATCATACCACCTATAATCTGTCTACTGTAAGTATCTCAATAACAGTAAAAGAGAAGTAAAATAATTTTAAGAAACCACTACGCTTTATTATATAGCTAAAGATATGTTAGGATATCACAGAACAAAAGCTGGGAATCATTTTCCCCAGAACTTTAGTACTATGTCATATTTACCCTTGAATAGAACATGGTACAACCCAATAAAGGGTACAATTGTTAAGAATTGTATGTAGTAAATAAGATAGAAACTAATGAAGAAATGAACCAAATTAGAGAGTTTGAGATAGGACTAAGGAAAAGGACTATTTGAATGAGAGGTGAAAGATCTAGTTCCTGTTTAGGAGTGTACAAGCACTGGATGGGATTGATGCAGCTATAGCCTACCTGTGTTATTGAGAAAAATGTCACACATAGGCTGTGAATTACGCAGCCAGCTTCATTCTCAAATAACATGTGAGCCTGACTTAACAATTAAGTAAGTACTGAAATCATTTATTGAATCAAAAATCAACAGATAATACAATTCTTGACTTATTAAGCACTGCTGAATAATACTTTTTTTGCTACTCATCTGAAAGTATCATTAACAGCAGATGTGATTACCCCATCACCACCTTTTATTTTTTTAAATAGTGTTGTCTTTCTAGTTCTTTACTTTTTGTGGAAACTGTCTTCCATAACCAACAGTCCTCATTAAGTAATTCATAAAAAATTGTTTTTTTCTAATTGGAATATTATATTCATGGACTAAGTCCATTTATTTTGTTGATTTTGTTGTTTATAATAATAACTTGTATTTATTGCTAAAAGTTCAGGAAATAAACGTATAAAGAAGTAAATATATATTGTACTCCTTACTTCCATTTAACGTAACCACTGTTGATGATGTTGTATATATCTCTGTTTTCTATACTTACATAAAATTTTTTTTACAAAATAGAGTTAAGTTACATTTCTATTTTGGAAATTTTTTCCACACAACCCTTCTTATATCCCTTACTAATGGACATTTACATAATGTACAAGTTTTGGTTGGTTTTAACAGTACTGTGACACATGTTGCACATTTATCTCTGCTCTTATCCAAATCATTTCCTTATGGTAGTGGAAGTAGAATTGGGAAGTCAAAGATACCTACTTTATATATAGAGTCTTCATGGATATTTGTTTACTTTTGTTTAAAATATTACTGATGTTATGTCAGTGAAAACGTGAAGGCTGATTAAAAATTTGAAAATTTGTGTTGTATGTAAGTGATGAATCACTGAATTCTACACCTGAAACTAATATTGCTCTGTATGTTAACTAACTGAAATTTAAATAAAGTTGGGGGGAAAACTGAAAAAATTAGTAAAATTATGTACTTTTATGCCACTAAATAACATTCAGCTATAAAATTAAACTCTAACCAAATTATTACCTTCCCATCAAAAAGCAGTTTAATTTCTCATGGAAAAACAATTCTATTTTGGAGAGTTGCATATTCAAAAAGAGCATAGAGAAAGTGTAAAAGAACAGGATGAATCAAATTGCAATGAACATTATACAGGAAAGCACCATCTAGCTTTAGAAATTTTCAACTAGTCACCATGATCATATCAAAATAAAATGGAAAGAAATTGATGGATAGAAATATGTAATTAGTGGGGTGCCTGTGTGGCTCAGTCAGTTAAGCATCCAACTTTGTCTCAGGTCATTGTCTCACAGTTCGTGGGTTCGAACTCCACATTGGGCTCTGTGCTGACAGCTCACGGCCTGGAGCCTGCTTCAGATTCTGTCTCCCCCTCTCTCTCTGCCCCTCTCCCCTTGTTCTCTCTCTCTCTCTCAAAAATAAACAAACATTAAAATTATTTTAAAAGAAAGAAATGTGTAATTCGTTGTTGAGAATACATATGCTGAAAGAAAAATATGGCCATCATATTGACTGCTTTAGTATAGTTAGTAATTATTTGAAAAAAATAAATGATGAAATGTGTTTATTATTAATAAGTTGCTCATAAACTCTTTATATAAACAGTATGTTTTCTCCCTCCAAACCTTGAACTCAAAAATCTGCTCACATATTTTTTTTGGCAAGCAAAAAAATCGCTTGGATTTGAATTCACTTTGCTTTGACTCTTGGCTTATCGAAATTGGCTATAGAGACACTACTTAGCTATCAGAGGAATCAGATTCAATGTAATATATCTTTGGGCACGTAATAATCCTCACTTATATGTAATGGGAGACATTTGACCAGTTTCATTACTTTAGTTATCTGCATTAGTGTGATTTTTTAACTGGCAGCAGCCTCTTACTTGTGTTAGGCAAAAATCTTAATGGTCATTTTAATTCCTATCTGAAACCCCTGAGTTTTTAAGCATTGTAACATCTCACTTCTTTTTTGTCCTTTTTCTCTTCACCACCACTCCATTCAGCTGCAAACGAGGTTATTTAAATGAATGCCCACTCATTAGATAAACCAGAGTCACCCATTATCCTACAAAGCCTGCCATCCAGAGTACCTCTTCATCATAGTCTCAGGATCTGTGACTGTTTTGGTGGAAGTGCTTATTCTTTTCAGCTTGGTCATTATCTTCCTGGCAAAAAATATGATGAGTAACAGGCAAAGGCACCCATTCCCTTGCACTTGGGTGCCTAGTAAAAACTACAGTACTGTTCAGACGATTTGCTAAATCCTGTTTGTAATCCAGGATAAATTTTGATTCAATGTATTTATATAACATCCTAGAAATTCCTAATCCATTAAAATTGGGATAAAAGGTTCTCTCTTCTAAGTGTGAAGTGTGTATTTTTAATCTTGGAATAATAGCTATTTTTAATATGTTTCTTTAAAGCATACTTAGAGGATTTCAGTTACCTGATAACTGCATAACTAGTCCATCTTGAAGCAAACTAACAAATTATTCTATGTTTAAGCTTAAAAGGATGACGAGTAAAGTAATTTAACACAGATAACAGTCAAGCCAGGTTTCAGGACATTTATCAATACTCGATTGTATACATTATGTATACATTATGTTTTGAGGTGATGTTCAAATAGAATGGCTTCATTAAATTCAGCACATTATATTTTAAGTTTATAGGGTTTATAAGGTTGTTTGGAACACATTTCCAATAGCTGTGGCATGAGAGTAGTGTTACGTTGTCATTTTTCATTCTATCCTTATAACGTGGAAAAAGGTTAATTTTACTGATTCTGTCTTCCATGCATCAGAATGTTGCCTTGGTTTGTCACTACCAGCTAATGGTAGTATCAAGTCAGTCTAATTTAGAGACACTTGTACCACATATCTTTAAAAGATGGTGATGAGAAAGCATGTGGTATAGCTTGCAAGCTAAGGACATTGCTAAATCCTTGTGGATTTTTAAATTGTACTTGTGAGCAGAGCTTGGATCTAGACCTTGCACAGCATTAATAATGACATAATTTCTTTAAACTCTAAATTGCTCCATTGGTAGAATACCGTTTTAGTCTCTCCTTTGACATGGTAAATGTCCATTATGTTATCTCATAATAAATAACATGGACTCTAATGCAATAACATGGTTGGTTAACCAATTCAGAAATAAAATTTCCTTTTTGAGTATATATCTCCTGAAAATTGATAGGATGGTACACCAATTATGTGATTTTCTTTTTTTTTTTTTATCTTATTAAAGGGGGAGAACATTAAATCTTTGAATACTGTACCTCAATTTTATTGTAATGATTTTGCTGGTTACCAGGTGGGGTGGCAGTTGAAAAATTTGGTGAATGCACTACGAGAGGACCCGAGTGGTGTTATCTTAACTTTGAAAAAGCGACCTCAGAGCATGCTTACCTCAGCACCAGCTTTACTGAAAAATATGAGATGGAAGCCCCTTGCTCTGCAGGTAATGAAGCTTAATCATAAGTCATACACCATCATTTTAGCCATAGATTATCTCCGTAATGCTTCTTTATTGTGCCTCATCTCAGCAGCATATGGATTAATCTTGTATGCTTTTGAAAATTTGTTTGTGAAATTATCTCTTCACAGCTTATCCTAATAGGCTTAATTGTGATGAAATCTGTAAGTTACTCTAAAACCCAAATGATAAAGATCTCTGCCTTAATTTGTAGACATTTAAAACATAATTACAAAAGAACACAAGTTATTTCAACCCAAAATGTGGTTAGAGATGAAAATGAAAGATTTCATTTGGAGATGTAATCTTCTATTTAAAAGTTATACTCATATACTTCAAAGAAACTAGATGACAGTTTGTAGAATTCTTTTAAATCAGGTCATAAGATAGTAATAGTTATTTCTAAATAGTAGGTAAAGAAAGCTTTATATAGTAATTAAAATGTACCTACTACATTCCTTCCTACTGATCATTTTTTTTCTTTCCCACCCTATAGGGTGACAAAATAGGGAAATTATTGCTTTATAATTTCTGCATTTTTCTTCAGCATGAAACCACTCTAAAATATTACTCTGGATGTTGGTAAATGATATTCATTAAGAAGCAGAGTATCTAGGAAGTTATAAAAATAAGATTCTGATCAATGAAAGACAAGGAAGGAATACATGTCCTTCTGTTTCAGTCAATATAATCTTTAAACACATCATAAAAAAAGTCTTTCACAAAACTTGCATTTTTAAAATAAGAAACTATTACCTTTCTTAGAAGTCTAATTTTTTAAAAATGTAATTGCCTGTTGAACTAGAGTATTGACAGTTGTTCAGATTAAAAAGAAAAGTAATATATGCGCCATTGTTATCACTGCTTTGTAAATTGTTCCTAAGTTCTGTATTAGTACCTTATACCATTCTTAAAATTTTTCCCCTAAAATCCTAAATTCTCCATTACACATGAATGGCCTTATAGATTATGATGATTTCTCATTGTTTAAAACTTTACTATTTATTGGCCTCAAAGTTGCATTATATTTAAATAACATAAGATGTTATTAACATTAAACATTAAAATGTTCTAACATTAAGGTGTTTAAATTTTAATGTTAATCTTTCATTTTTCAAATGAATATATGTACACTGTATTAATATGTCCAAATACATTTGACTTGCAGTATATGTCTATTATCAAATATTTTTAATGTCATTGAAGTTCAGAGTTTAATGTTTTTTGCCTCATTAAATCATAGATTAGCAGATCAGACTTTACCATCACATCATTTTATTTTCTTGCTGTATTATAAGTTGCTTTGTTGTTCCACTCTGTAGTTTTCCTATTGACATGTCTTCCTCAAAGATCCTGAGAAGTGGGAACACTGAAGAAGAGTCCCACAATTTTAGCCATTAGGTTTTTTTATCTGTATATGTGTAATTAAAGTTAACAACTTCTCTCTGATCCCTTCTGTTTCACCTTGAACACTATAAAGACACTGTTTTCTTGTTGATCCATGGATACTGTTTGAGGGAATATCTCTAGGAAATAAATTGATAGTGTGGTCCCTTCTTAGATTCTTTTTCACAAACACAAACTGGAGAATTAAGGTAATGACAGTATCCAGTTAGTCACTTTTATAGATAATGCTGAAATAATTGAAAGACCATTTCTTTTTTTGCTACACATATGATGTGTATATTCAGTGCTGGAGAACAAAGACTTTAATTTTTTAAATTATCTCACATCATTTTAAAATTATAATTATAATAGGTTATTAGCACACTGTTTCTAGGTCCATTCCTAACTGCCAAGAAATATGCCTCACCAGATCACTAATTATATTTATTCCTCATTGTCTGTTCAGTTACTCTGAGTATAAATTTACTGTTTAAGATTGCTAAAATCAGAAAAAAGAAAATCAGCATTTCCATAAGGGCTTATATGTATCAACATTTTTGTAAATTTGTTATTTCAGCTGAACTTAGTTCAACTGAAATGTATTGTCAGAGCTCAACTCCTTATAGATAAACAATACTGTTGAGAAGGTGGGGGACTTGCTTTCAGTTTCTTTACAAATTGCTTCAATGGTTGACCTTTTACAGAGCAGAAGGAAGAGTATCAGGTTTAAATACTTCCTAGTAGTGGTAAAACAAGATTTTGGTGTTAAGAGCAATGGATAAGTCCTCTAACATACTATACCACCACCACCAAATATCCCTGAAATTTTGAAGACCCGAAATTGTACCAATACAGAGTTCTTTCTTGATCGTACAGCTTTGGCCTCCTCTAAAATACTAAGACACTGGAGGCATAATGGGGACTATCTGGTCAGAATTTTTAGAATGTAGATTAACCAAAGGTGGACAAAATTCAATGGTACTAGAATCTGTAGATTAAAAGTAGACTGCCTCCAGAGGAGGAAAAGTCAAAGAAATCATGAGGTAAGGAGGTCTTACAGACAGTTTGGGATTCCTTTATTACTTTGCCTGAGGCCACATATTTTTCCTAGTGGCTAAGAAAGGACCTCAGAGGTGAAATATAATGCTTAATGTAGGAATAACCCCCATGCAGACATAAGTACCAGTCTTACTGTATTTTTGCTTCTGCTATGTGTACAAATACATTGGTGCTAAAATGCCCATTAACTCACATAAATATAAACCTTCAGTGTTCACACCTGAAGAATTGGACCTTAGGTTATTTCTTTTTTCAGAGTGTACTAACATTCTACTAAGAGTTATTTAGAGATTTGCAAAAAGAAATGTTTAGGGCCTGCCTGGGTGGTTCAGTCAGTTAAACAAAAAGAAATGTTTATGTAATTTATTTAATTTGATATGTCTATTTCAACTTTTTCTTCTCTACCAGGCTTAATATGCCTACTAGTATTTTCAAATAAAATATGGCAAAGTTTATGTAGTGTGGAGATAGACAGTAATACATGCACCTTAAAAAAAACAACTTTATTCTAACATAAGCAATAATTATTTTTTAAACTAACAAGGGAATAATTTGTACCTACACAAAATTTAACCTTATCGACCCTAAGGTAGAAGATTGTTATGGAATACCATATTTTAATGAAAGAAGTTTTATTTCTAAAAATATTTTGAAAGGATAGTAACTTCTATTAATAATCAACTGCAATGACAAATTTAGATTTGGATTTTCTTTTGAAAATTATTCATGAAATTATAGCAAAATAAACAAAAGCATACAACTAAACTTCATGCTTACAGAGCAGTTTCATTAGTACATTTCATGAAATATGGCAACTCTTTTTTTAAATTTCTGATTTCTCAAACATTTTACAATGGAATTAAAAGACTTAAAGATACCTTAGTCAAATACTCCTAACAGACTTAATCTGGAGTTGAATTCTGTTGTCATCTGTACCCATTTATAAATAGTAGAGATGTTTTACCTGAGATAGAATCTTTTGCTCTATGAGAGCAAACAAGGGATTCCCTGCTTTCCAATAACTGTTTTTAAAAACATGTTCTTAGTAGCACTTCTACTCATGTCCTGGATTTTGGTGAGCTTGGTGATTGCTTACGGTCAAGTTCTTCCAATTTAATGAAAAAAAAAAAAATCCCAGGGAACTCTGGATAAATTTCAAGGTATATTTTTGTGTTTGTGGTTTTAAGTTAGTGTGTGTAGGTCATAAGCATGTGTGGGTAGTGTGAATATTTTCTTACAAGACATGCATGGCAGAATTAGCTGGATACTAGCAAGAATCTTAATTGAAATCATCACTGGGAATCAGCCATATTTAAAAACATTAAAGAACCCAGCTTTTTTGATAGAAATGCATCTCAAATGATTACTATAATCAGTGTTGGAATTCAACATACTGATAGAGGTTTCATTAAACACATTTTTATAAGAAATAACATCAAGCTGTATCATTAGAATTATGTCCCTAAACTGCCTTCTGATCCATAAATCTCGTATATCTATGTGATAGTTTCTTGTGTGGCTTTGTGCTTTTTATTTAAAATTTTATTTATTGCTTAGTATTTCCTTGATGCCATTTTTACAGGATATTTAACTTTGACCAGAAAAAGAAATGGAAAGCAAATAGTCATAACAGTCAGTTTTGTCTATCAACTGGTATAACACCTGAAGAACACTAATTAATTGTGTTACATTTCAAATACATACAGATACAAATGGTTAAACTCATTCTGTAAAAACCAAAACATAAAAAATAATAAAATTAGTTTTAATATCAAAGTTATGGGTCAGGGTGACTGAAAAATACTAACAAAATTTATGTTTCTGAGAGTTTTGTTTTAAAAGCATGTTTTGAAGAGGAAGATAACCAATATTAGCTATGGCACTAGAGAAGAAAATAAATCTTAACTAAAAATGTAATTGTGCTGACTGAGAAGCAGAAATAATTATATGTCTTACATGCTCAAATTAGTAAATAGCTGCAAGCAATTGTCACATCAAATTTTTGTTCAGCAGTATTAAAGTAAATTAATTAAAGTATCTAAATCACATTTGTGTTTTTCAGCCAAATGCTTTCAAATGTTATACTGACTACAAATGATCACCTAAAATGCAAAAATAATTTTTCATTTTCTTTATTCTTTAATTTTTTATTTTTTAGTTAATATTCTAAAATGATGTTTATTACAATTTGAAAAAATTGGAAGTCCAGTTTTAATGTTTCAGTATTAACTATGCCAATAAGACTGGACAGCACAAGAGTAAATACAGTCACAGTAGTCTCAGTGCAATGTGAAAAATTTGATGACTCACTGGATAAAGCCATTTTGTAGTGTGACTCTGAAGTCTATGTTTCTTATATATCATGTAACTACATATTTTATGCATATATATCTGTATTTTTAAACCTATACAGATATGGTTTCCTAATCAAATTAATGGTCAGAACAAAATGTTTGTTTTCTTAGTGCTCTTATAGGAAAGGAAAGATTACATGCTTATAAAAGAAGACTCAAGTCTTGTGTATTTATGAATTTAGATCCTAGAAAAAACTGAAAAAACAGAGTGGGAGAATTTTAAATACGTGCATTTCCTTTGCTTAGATTTTATTCAAATAATTTACTACTTAAAACAATCTTTCCCAGGGAAAAGTACGCCCCAAATTTTCTAGATTAAATCTAGTTTTATATGGTCAAGAAACTTATAAACTGTATGAATTTTCTTGCCTCCCAAAATCCAGCATACGTTTTCGCTGGAGCATTTGTTTAGGTGATTAAGAACAGAATTGCTAACATAAAAGAATGTTCTGGTACTTCTGTTGGTAATTATAATAAAAATGTGTTTGAACTGAGTAAGGACTTGTGTGAATGTTCTGTGCTAGAATAATGGGTATTGTGATCCATCTGAGTCTGTGTTTATTCCCAAGAATGAATAAAATAAATGGCCAGGTTTTATACTTGATGTAATCATGCATATTTCAATGAGTATGTTCCCCCTGTAAGTCAAAGCAAGCTCTTTGTGACCTTTGCAGTAGTGAATTTTAGACATAACTACATAATGTGTAACACACTGTTTTAATCTTTAATGCTGGAGCTGTCTTTATGTCACTGGTATCATTCAAGACTTTCTTTAGCTCTGTGAAAGCCAGGTCACTTACCAGACAGAGGGGCAAGTGAATTAAGATAAGCTTGCCACACGAGTTGTTAAAATGAAAAATGTTTCAAGTAAAACCTCAATGTAAAATGTAGTTTAAGTATGGAAGTTCTTCTCTCATAATCTTTAAGACCATAGGGCTTTCAGAGATACCTTCCAGATGTGCTCAGCTACCTTAGAGATGTTAGAATTAGGGACACAAAGAACAGACCTGAGCCATCAGAGGATTTAAATTGAGATTTCAGTGATCCCTTACAAAGGCTGAAAACCTTATTTTATAATAATCACAGTCTTTCATATGCTGTTTAAACTGGATGAGTAGGATATTATTACTAAAGTAATGACACATGATTCAGAGGAAGATTTGTGCAGTACCATATTGTAGGATACAATTTGAAAGGATTTATGTAGTTCAAACTGACAATATGAAAAAATGTATGTGTATGTTTTACTTAGTAGATTTCTAGTAGTCATCCTGTTGATGTAGCAAGTTATCATTAATTGACTTAAAGTTATCAATGTATATTTAAAGAGATGCATATGATCATTTTATTTAGAATCTGGATATTTTAATTGATGCATGTCCGTACCCCTGAATATCTATCAGAGTTGTTTTAGCAGAGTGAAAACATATATGCAAATGCCTCTTCCCTTCTGGAGTCTCACTGGGTCTGTGAAAGGAGAGCTTTATGTCAGTAGGGCCATTTACATATCAAAACTAAATATTATGACAAAGTCCTTCCAAGAAATAAACCTGTTTGCATAGAACCCAAAATGGATCATATCATATTTGATTGCATACTGTAGCTGATCAAGTTATAAAGAAGCTTCATGCGTGAGTAACAAGATGCAGTCTTAAAATAACCTTGTATTTAAATGATGATAATTCTTAATTCTCCTTCCATATTTTGCCAATATAGAGAAAGTATCAAAGTAGTAAAATGGTAAAATAAAAAAATATTACCCTCTATTTCTACTTTTTGCCTTAAATTGGAAATTCTTCATAGTGCAGTGGTAATTACTCTTCTTTTACTATGTTATAAACACATTATTGAAAGGAAATGTTGTCAAGATAGGAGAAGCTATCTTTCTGCATTTTTATGCTAACATACTTGGATATTTTCCTGAAACTAAGAAAAATGTCTATTAAAATTTGAATTTGATGCTGAGAGAACTCCTGTTTTGATCTGAAGGAAGCTGTATTTGTCATTTTGGGTATTTTCACACACTTAAATTGTTATTGGTGGTGGTTGTAATTTTAATGCCACTTGTTACAATTAGGAATTTCAGCATCCTTTATTCTGCACTTGATTTAGTCAAATTTTGCCTATCTTTCTAATGCTCTTTAATGCCTTTTTTCATTCTTTTAGTCATTTAATTTTGTATTCTTTCAGTTCTTGTTCAAAGGTAGAAAATTTTTAAGAGATTATAATTTTAAATTTTCGCAAAGACTTCCTCTTGGGTTAATTAGCTATTGCCATTTTCCCATGAAGCTTCTACTTTACCATACTTTATTTTTTCATTGCTTAATGTGTATTTTTTAAAACAAGATTCTCAAAAGCAGTGTTTACTTTTTAGTGTGGATTAGCTTGACAAAGGTAATACAATGAATAGACAAAAATATGCCAAATATATTTAATCCTTACTGTGTGTTTCATTTGATACAAAGCATACTGATTATCCAGATGATATCTGCATGATAAACCACTTGAAATGTTTTCTGTGATTTATCAGTTAATACAATAACTAACCAGTTGAGCTGAACAATAGAATTGACTAATTTCCATTTTCTTTGAAAGAAAAGTTGTTTTCTTAAACCAATTCAATTCATTGAGCCAGCTGGCACAAACAAACCTGTTATCCATTTAAACTTATTTAAGAGTCTTTCTTCTGTGTATTTATTAATTTAGCTAATCATGCTAACTGATGATATTAATAGCAACTCCTTCCTGAAAATAGAAACCTAGAGAAAATAGCAATTTGAAGGAAGCCGACAAGGCTAATATTTAAGTTTACTGGAAGGGGAAAGGCACAAGTACCCTAAATAATCCTGGTAATAATCCAGATAGAATCCTAGTAGTAGTCTAGGCAGAATAAAATATTCTGTTGCTATTTACCTCACACTTCATGGCTATTTAAAATATACTTGTAAACATTGACTATTGTTTCTCTTTTGTTCCTTCCATTTTTCCTTCTTCCTCTTTGTTTGGGGAAGGCAGACATAGGTACTAACCAAGAAAGATTATCATTAGTTGTATACATGGTAAAATAAAAGGAGAGAGAGAAGTCTTCAGAATAGAAACAGTGACTATAAAACAAAAGAAAAAGAACAAAAATTTGTTACGTTATTTTAATTATTTATATTTTTAGAACTTGTTTTTAATTTCACATGCAGTATTGGAATGTTTTAAAAAAAGATGCTAGAGCATTTAAAATGCATACTGAATATACGTTTTTCTCTCACAGTACATCTGTTAGACAGTTTTGAAAAGTAATGTACTGCATAATGGGTTTTTCTTTATATTTGTATAATGATGAAATTTAGTCAGACTTTTTTTAATGTAATCTGTTATTTAGTACCAAGATGTCCTGACAAAAAGCAACTATAAATAGTCATATCACAGTGATGGACATAATGTGTGTCTAAAGACTTGATCTAAAGAACCTATCATTCATTCAAAGATTTGCTGTTGAGGTATCACTAGAGACAATATAATTCTTCATTTCCTCAGGCTTCATGGTATTCATCCATACAGATGACTCTTGATTACCTATATAATCTCAGAATTTCCCACTGCCAAGATTTTTGTTTCTGAAAGACACAAAGAACTTAAGTGGACACTATTTCAAAATCAGCATAGTTAAACATAAGTCTACTGCATACTTTCATAGTATTTCAAAATTCCTTAACATAAAGTTTCTGACTTTTTTTCCATCATAGAATATAGAATATTGTAGAATCCCCAAATAAATTATCAATTATTTTTCCCTTCTCTCTCTCTTTCTTTAATTTCTATTTCACATAGATTAAAACTTAACCGTCATTTTGGCAGGATGTGTGATTTCAACCTATTAAGGTGAGCTGTGTAATAAGGAAGGTCAAAAACTGTGAACTGAGTCATAAACTATGTAGCCTTCCCCAGTGGCCTACCTGTACATTGTACTTATGCTTGGTTTTTTGAACATTTTGCTTATCTGTACTAAAACATTGTCACGATATAAAATAGTTGTAATATGCCATTTTTGTCCGGCAATACGTGTTAAAGTAATAGAACTGCGGATCTATACAGATTTGCTAAAAGTGTTTTCATATTGGCTAAAATGGCAACATCTGTCATGTGAAGATACAGTTCATTTTGTGATCATTACTTTTGTGTTTGCAATTGCACTAAAATTCTTATTTTTAATGTTACTGTATATGTAGCTAATCAGTAAGATCTGTAAGATAACATGAAAATTTGTGAATTTTAATCTCACTTTAGAATAATTTTTTGAACAACAAGATCATTTCCAACTGCTGTGAAGCTTAGAATTGGAACCGCTCTTAAATTAACGCATCCTGATGTATTGCTTTATTCAGTATACCTGCTATCTTAATTTTTTAAAGTATTTAATACTTAAAACAAGCATGAAAATGCAGTCTGTAGGTCTGTATCTAACCATTTAGTGATAAATGTGTGTGCCTCTGAAAGGTGAAACTGTTGTGTTCCACCAATCTCCGTACTTTTGAAGATGTACCATAAATGACCTTGAGACAACAGTTCATTGTGTTTATATTTAAAAAAAAAACAAAATATGAAAAAAGAAAGTATTTTCTCATATTGGCCTTTCATCCTCCATTTTTGTAACCTTTTCTGAAAAGAATCTGTGACATTCTGCTAACTAAAGAGTATGGTATGTCTTTTTGGGGAAAAGAAATGAAATATCTTTCTTGAATATCAATCAGGATGTGAGTGAGCCAATTCTTTTGAAAGTTCCTCTTTATTATCTTTCTTTCAAAGGTGGAATTCCAACAAAACAAATTTAATTTAAATAAGTTTCTGACTGTGAAACAAATCTTACCATTATGAAACACTGCATGGTGCTTTCACCTTATAAATAGCTTTTACATGGTTATGTCTTAGAATAAGGTGAGTTGAGAACTAAGCAAAGCCTCTAAAATAATAAATTACTTGTTTTTGGAGATTCAAAGGAGTATCGATGTGCTAAATAACATGCTTCTTGATTTCAGCCAAGTTCAGAAACTTTGCAGAAATAGATAATTTTAAAATGATAACTATATGTCATTGTTGTTGTTGTTGTTGTTGTTTTGTGTGTTGTTTGTGTGTGTATGTATTTTCTTTTTCATTTTAACCAGCCTCTTATACCTAGAAGTCCCACAAGCAGCGTTGCCACGCCTTCCAGCACCATCAGTACACCAACCAAAAGAGACAGTTCTGCTCTCCAGGATCTCTACATCCCCCCTCCTCCTGCAGAACCATATATTCCCAGGTATAATACTACCCATCATGTTGTTGTGGGCAGCTTCTGTCCAGAGACTAACCTAACCGTATGGAAACTGTGAAGTAAATTATCAGGGAACACCTTGAATATTTTCTTAGATAGTAATTCTGAACACATTCTGGAAAATTACTGCATTGTAGAGAATGCACTTTGGTTAGTAATAATAATAATAATTAATCCATATTAAGCACTATGCATTAAATATCTTGTAAACATCTCATGTAATAGAAAAGAGTAGGAAAGTAATGTTAAATAACAACTAGGATTCTTTTAATAAATAAGGAACAAGTGAGGGTCTTTGTCTAAGAAGCCCCAGGAAATCTCAAGTTACTTTAAAGCATTTCATATGTTTTTTTTCTAAAAGAGAAAGTTACAGATAACTTTTATGCCCTCTTAAATGTATGCAATGAGGGAGCTTTTGGTGGGGGGAGATAGATGATGAGAAGGGAGAGTTTTGTTTCCCCTAACACTTCTGTATCTACAGTTTCTACTTGATCAGTTCATTAATGTTTCTGTCAGGAAGTAGAGACAATTTGCAAGAGAATGAGTTGCCTTTAAAGTCTATTTTCTAGATTTCTTGAGGCTATATCTCTATTTCATTTCCAGATTTCCATTTGAATTTCTTGGCAGGAGTGAAAGAATACAACTATGTTCCATAATGCATTCTGTCCAAAAGCATTCTGATACCCAGCCTTGTGGAACACAAAAATTATGGAAACAGGCCCGCACTAAATGGGGATAATTAGTACCAATCACAAAGAATTTGGTTCCATTTTTAAATTAGTTGCGCAGTCATTCAAAAACAGTAAATTAAGGTCTCTTATTTTCAAGCCACACTTAATATTTAATTTCTTCAGTATATAAAAGAACTGAAATTCCTTATTTTAATTAATTTTCATCATTCTTTAGTGCTCCTAATGTTTCATTCTCTTAGATATGATGGCACAGACATTTTATGATCTAAATGCTATATGACAACATGGTATGTCTGCAAATACTGTATTGTTGTCTCGTAATAAAACTGTAGTCCATTTTATAAACATTTTAGGTTTTAATTTTGAGAATTAAATATAGCTGTGAGAACATGGTTTATGAGAAGATGTAATTTACTGAGCTGCCATTTCACAAATCTTTCTAGTATATAATTTACAGTCCTATGTTAAATTTACAATCAGATGTACACATCCATCTGATATACTAGTCAAATGCAAGTAGCATTTTAATTCTATTAGGATAGTGTCAGACTTTCTGACTGCTCTTGCATGAGGAGCAATCCAAATATGTGTTTTGGATAGTGACTCTTTTGGTTCGTTTTCATTTTAATTGGAAAGATTTTTATTTCAGTGCAAATGATTATTTAAGAGACCTTATTCCATGGGCTACATGTACAGATAAATATCAGAAAATGACTTTTATCAAATCTCTGCAGTTTTTCAATGTTCTTTCCTTTTCTCTTGAGTAGGGAGCAACTTATTATAAAGAAAATATTTCCTAGACAGAAAATGTTTAAAATATACTTCAGAAGACAAAAGAATAAAATAATCGAGTTCCGTCCTCTGAGTGTGGTAGAGTTATGATTACAGCAATGTATTGAAACCAATAAAAGCTTGAACATGCTATCTAAAAATACTAAAGAGTATAAGAAGTCCAAGTATTAATATGGTGGCATTTGTTTTGTCAGTATTGCTTCATACTTTTAAGGAAATTCATAATTAGAGTGTATCATCTCACTTTAATCGATTCTTAGTCTTTCTTCATATAGTAAAAAATTTTATTTATGTAGGATAAGCATTTTAGTGTTAATTTGAATTGTAAATAATAAAAGCTTTCTTATCTTAAAACCAAAAAATACTTACAAATGGTAGGGCTAGCTGTCAGCTTACATAGAATTTTTTTCATGTGATTATCATTCTTTGAACACATTTATTCCAGAAGTGCCTTTTTCTCTAAAAGACACTCATGTCTGGAGTGAGTGAAATTTCATCAATTTTTTAATATATGTTTTGTGACTGTATGCAGTTTCATTATCATAGTATATACTGCATTTACACACTTAACCACATTTCTTTTTCAGTGACAAAAATCAAGAATTTGTAGGTTTTTGCACAACTCTGAAGTTTAAGCACTAATTTCTCTCATTAATTTTACTCTGAGCCCTTAAATGTAAAGAAAGTCCACTAAAGCAGTGTTCTGACTTTTCATCCATTTCCTTAAATCCTTTTCAGAGTAAAAGTGTAGGTTTATTACATACATAACATTAAGAAAAGTTTTTAATCTGTACAGCAACAAGAATTAATACATTGAGTTATTCAGGGACTCGATGTAAGTACATACACACAAGCACATATACAGAGATATAAATGCAAATAGGCACATACTTATATACACAATGCATGTATCACTTCATCCCACTGCAAAAAATGTTTTTGGTTTGTACATTTCTTATTTCAGCTTTATTTGCAATTGTCTCATATTAGACATGCTTAATAAATCTTCCTTGTTGGTACGAGGCCCTCCTTTTATATCATTATAGAGTAAGTAATACCAGCCCTTCCAATTTTCTGTCACAGGGATATCCATATAAATAGAGCATGGTGAGTTAACTAGGGCTGAATCACCTTCTGATCTCAGCTGCATTAACATTTACGTCACAGGCTTGATAAAAATGTCTGCCCATTTATAGATAGGCAAAACCTTACTCCAGTGCCACAAGTTCGTTAGGCCTGTTTTCAAGCTAATTGCAGCGTCAATAAAAATCTGTCTGCATTTTTTAAATATGCTTTCTTCATGTTGCCTAAGAACTAGCTATCCACTTACAACTTAGCAATAAGCAATACTTTTAAGAAATAAGAGTGAATTAGCAATGTAAATGGCAATCTCAACTTCTGACGAATTAAATACATGAAACAGCTTGCTGATCCAGTCAGTCTTGAGAATAATATTATTCTACTTTTGACATATTTCAAATATGAGGAATGTAGTTCCCATTTGGAGAGACCTAATCTAGACATTTCCATATACCTACAGAAGTGTCCTGTACCATAGTATGAAAGTATAGAAGTTATAGTATTCTTGTTGAACCATAACTCATATTTTGGAATTGACATTAGATTTATAAGCTCATCACTATTTTATAAGACATAATGTAAATTCAAATTTTGTGCTTTTTATCTGTCTTGTTATAATTTACTTTATTCTGTTGATTTAAGATTTCAGTCTTGGTACTTAACATAAAATTAAATTTTTATCAGGTTTGATAGCATTCATGGCACTGTTTAGGGTAGAACTGGAAACAATTAAGAAGTAGTAGAAAATAAAAGTAATGATCTTCAAGAGAAGAAACACTGCATTTACATTCATAGCTGTGTTCTAGAAGACTGGCTTTTCTAACAAAGACTTCATAGCTAGTCAGTGAAACATCATAAAATAAACAAGGTTCAATTTAGCCCATCCTCATGGAGTATTGCTACCAAAATAGCACTCATAAGAGGCCCAATTGCCTGGACTGTGTAATACTGTATGTCAGTAACAGTTTTAGGGATCCCATAAATTATTAGATTTTTCTTTTTTAGAATCCTGTAGAAAAAAATCACCTTGCCATCATCTTAAATTTCACATTTTATCAGGTTTCTCTACTCTCTCTCCACAAGAAATATTGCTGATATGTAATTAAATTTTGATCTATCCATTTAGAATTAGTTCTGTGAATGTATATTTTTACTATTAGATGAGAGGCACAGAATTTAAATACTGAAAGTAATTCTGTTCAGTAAGGTTTATTTTAAATTAATAACAAGCTGTTTGAAATTCATACAGTAATCAGTTTATATAGTGTTAATTTGGTTTTTAAGGCTGCAAATATTGTTACAGAGGTGTTAGTTCTTAAACATGTCTTTGTTTTTAAGCAGTGCAAATATCACTATGAATCAATTAGTTAAATTGGCAGAAGAAAGCTATATTGTTAGCAATTTTAACCTTGTACCTACTGTCTTGAGCCCTAAAAGTAATTTATGTGCTAAGATGATTTCCTTTATGACACAGTACAGTGAAAATGGACCAGAGCAGGAGTTAGAAAATCCATGGCCCATGTCTAGCATTGCCCTTTATTAGCTGTGTGACCTTTAGGCAACTCATTTAACCTCTCTGATCCTCAGCATTTATTTTCTTGCAATATAGGAATAATTAAAAAACTGCCCTCTAAACCTCAAGGAAAGTTTAGAAACATTGGAATATATATTGTATGGGAAGGATATTATTACTATTTTAGACCCTCTCTGCCATTTTACCACTCTGACACTTCCCTACATTCTTCTCCTTTACTTTTCCCTATTTTTAGGGATGAGAAAGGAAACCTTCCTTGTGAAGACCTCAGAGGACATATGGTTGGCAAGCCAGTGCATAAGGGATCTGAATCACCAAATTCATTTCTGGACCAGGAATATCGAAAGAGGTTTAATATTGTTGAGGAAGATACTGTTTTGTACTGCTATGAATATGAAAAAGGAAGATCAAGTAGTCAAGGAAGACGAGAAAGCACCCCGACTTATGGTAAGAGTTCTTTTCTTACACTGACATAAGAACATATGTCTCACATGAGAACCTCTATTTCTTTTCATAGACTTTTGGGTTATGAACATACTTGATTTACTTGATAGCTTTTGAATCTTTATGATTGATTTGTGTCTGTCATGTGCTTCTAATGGAATATCAATAATACGAAGCATGACATTAAACATTATTCTAAATTTTCTAAAGATAGGCAAGAGCAATGAGTAGCATTTTAGCTCTTTAATGATTTATGGAAACCCTGTTGAATCACATGTAATTTTTGTCATGTCAGATTTTACCAAATTGGAATAATTCAAGATTTATTTTTCTTTTTTTTTCAATGAATGCTTCCTACTAACATGATACATAATAGCTTGCTGTGTGTTCTGCACCTGTGAGGACTACTGTATTAAAAAGAGGTCATACACTGTCCAGGGCCTGGCCCTTCAGGAGGTATTTTGGGAGTGCGTTGCGTGCTCTCTGTTGTTGTGACTCTGGTTGCTTTATCCCCCTACTTGTAGTGGTGGTTGGGACCTTCCAGCAGGTGTGTTTTGATTTGTTCATTGAAGAAACCCTGGAAAAAATTTTAACATGACTTATGTAAAATAAACTCCTTATTCCTTAGGGATTAAAAAATGTTTTAATAGATACACTTTCTGGGGAAAATCTCACCTCAATTTTTGTGTTTTTTAAGAAGTTAGAAAATTTGAATGAAGTGGATTTTAACTAGGAAGCACATACCGTATTTAAATGAGAGATGTCCTTACAGTTACCACATACCTAGGATTTTTCATCTTTGACTTCTGTTTTTCCATGCATGACCAAGAAAGCAACCCAGACACAAATGTTTTCACTTGATACATTGTATCTGAAAGATTTGCAGATAAGGTTGCCTAAAGTTGAAGCAGTAAAGCTATGATCCTATTGCAAGAATGAATGGACTTATTTGGAACTCTGTACTCCTCATTTTCAAGTTTTCAGACTAGTCATTTTTCGTGAGGAGCATAGAGAAGGGGAAAGTTAGGATCCTTCCTAACAGATTGATACAGATGATCACTGGGAGCTGAGCAGGAGGAAAGTTTTTTTAACATTTTTTTTCCACTTGCCCTCCTTACATGTCCATCATGGCCATATGCGTCCCTCCTGTGGTCCCAAATGATTAGCCATCATGTACCTTATGCATGTCTTATTTCCTTATAGCTCTTTGGTAATAATTATATATGAGAAGTTTGGCCCAGAATGGTCCTAAACAATAGGAACCATACTTACCTTACATTGTATTATTCTCTGTGCATGTGCTTTTTGTCATAATAATAAGTAATAATATTTTTACTATAGCTCCTCAATTATACTATTCCGGTGGCAATTATTTTGAACTGTCATAATTAGAAGGTATTTGCACCTTTGCTTTCCTCCCCTATTATGCTATAAACCTCTGCAGTAGTGTACAGGCCTGCCATCTTTGTTATCCCTACCCCTGCTTTATCACATAAGATCTTTTATTTTTATTCATTCATTCCACATGTGCTTATTGACTACCTATTATTGGATAAGCGGTAATGTATATCAAGTCCTTTTTTTTTCTTAGAATTCTCTGGCTATTTTCTGCTTATTCTGAAGTATGATTAGAATGTTTAAAGGGAAAATTATAGTCACCAGATGAAGCTGATTACTGATAGCTTTATAAAAAAAATAGGTTACTTGGCTCTTACTTGAATGGCTATGAATTGTTAGTCTCTTCAGGGTACAGTCTAAACCACCTAGTGTCATCATGTTCCATAAATCCTATCTCTCCCAATAAAATAAAATACTGTTTACATTTTAGAAAATTTAGGTATCCTATAGATATTTTATATATTTTTATAAACAACCTAGGAGAAAAGAAATGTATATATACTTAAAAGATTGATACAAAGTAAAATAAAATTCTTTTTAACTTTCGAACATGAAATATAATCTGAACCTTTAGTGGAGATAGTTACAGATATATTTCAGTGAAGATCTAGCACAGCCTGTAGGTTGTTCCAGACAACTAGAAGTTTAATGTATTAAAACCTTTTTAAAATCAGATTGTAAATAATAAATTCTACCTGTCACATACATGAATTTGTGTCCTTAATTTTCCCAAAGATTATTTTTTTCTTAACTAATTCAGCTAACATTTGTTATGAACATAAAGTCATCCAGTCACTGGGGACTCAAAGGTGAATAAAACATAAATTTTCCCTGGAAGTCATTCATAACATAGAGGGAAAATACAAATAAAGGGATGTGTTGGAATTGCTTTAGGAAAGTAGGAAAATGTGAACAAAGTAATGCCTGCAGTCAGCCAGAGTCTTCCTGAGAAGTCACATAAATAAAAGTGACACACTGAGTTTTATATGATGAATAGTCATCCTCTGTGGTTTCTAAATGTTAGTTATCCCCACCCAATACCTGGCACCTTCTGAAACATAGGTCTGAGATCTGAGGGTTTATATAAATCTCTCAGCCCAGACCCTGAGCTTTCCAGTACATATTACTCCAAAACTTTGTAAGCAATTATCGATGACTTCTTTATTTAACCTATAAGGTGGTCCCATTGCATACACTCCCAAGTGTGACAGCATTTCCTTAGGTTTAAAAAATAATGATAATAAAAATTCATAATTCTGCTAATGTATATTGCAAAAAACAAGAGTACAAAAAGTTCATATGTCATATTTTCTGGAAATGACTGTAATTTCACATGTTAGCAGTTGTATGATACCTTAAAATGTAATGAGAAAGTCCTTTAGGCTTACAGTGCTCAACTTAGTTCTCACTTGCAAATATCCTAATCTTGAAGTATGTGAGCTTAGCCACCATTCTTTCCTATTAACTCCACAGATTACCTGTTTATTCAAGAAGGTTTAGAGTTAAGATTTTAAGAGTATAAATAGAATTTTGACAAGCAAGGAGAAACATGACTCAGTTCTTAGTATGTTCTTTTGGTTAAATATGTATATACTTGTCGTATTCTCTTAGTGCATTAATATTTTAAAGTTAGGTATATAAGGGGCACCTGGGTGGCTCAGGTTGGTTAAGCGTTCTGACTCTTCATTTCAGTTCAGGTCATAATCTCATGGTTTCTGAATTTGGGCTCCACCTCGGACTCTACACTCTGTCTCTCTGTCTCTCTCTATATCTCTCTCACACACAAAATAAATAAATAAACCTTAAAAAATAAATAAAATTAGATATATAAGACAAAAATATTTAGGGAAACTGTCATTGGACACAGTGACAAAGAAAAGATGTAAAGAAAAATGCTCGAAAATATCCTAATTGTGCGTTTAAAAATACATCCTTAACTAAGGTTCTCATTTTATATCATAGACCTACTAGTTGTTGCTAAGAGTGAGTTTTAAAAAGAATAATTATTTCCCTTAAGCTATCAGAGAAGTATCATATGGATAGACAATGGATGGCCCTTTTAGAAATAATGATATTTATATATGCCAGGCACTGTTCTAGACATTTAAAAGGCATTGACCTGGGATGCCTGGGTGGTTCAGTCGGGTAAGCGTCCGACTTCGGCTCAGGTCATGATCTCACAATTTGTGGGTTCAAGCCCCATGTCGGGCTCTGTGCTGACAGCTCAGAGCCTGGAGCTTGCTTTGGATTCTGTGTCTCCCTCTCTCTTTCTGCCCCTCCCCTGCTCAATTTCTGTCTCTCAAAAATAAATTTAAAAAAAATTAAAGTCATTGACCCATTTAATCCTTACAATAACCCAGTGAGGCAGTTGCTAATAGAATGCTTATTTTACTGATGGGTTAAGGAACTTACCCAACTAATAAGTGGTAGAGCCTGGATTAAGTACCCGTGGATATTTGTGGACTCTGTCAGTGATACTAGCTAACTAAATGTGATGAAAGTAATTTGCTAATTTATAGAGAAATAATTTCCACAAATTGTGTTATTCCTTCCAAATTCAATCATTTGATTTCAGGCAAGCAGAAGTAGGTCTGATTTTTTATGTTCTTGTATATGCTGTTTCATATTTAGTGGCACTAGAGTAAACATGTTTTTACAAATACATGGTCCTGACAGACCTTAGTAAAAGGTAGCTAAATTGAGGGGTAAAATTAGTAACGATGTGTTATGTCCTTTTTAAATGAGAGAACATAAAATAGGTTTTACTTAGCTAAAAAGACAGGTGAGAATAATTTCTGGAAACACGGAGACAGTAGGGAAAGCAGCCTAGATAGGTGGTTAGTAGCATGGACTGTATCATCATCAGCCCCACTTGGTAATCCTGTCTTTTATCTAATTACTCTAGTATGAGCTTGGGGATGTTGGTCTCAATTTTCTCCTTTGTTAAATGAAGGTGACAATACCTGCCTCATGGACCTTTTGTGAGAATTTCATGACAGTGCATTGTAAGTTGCCTAGAAAGGTGCCTAGCATGTGCGAGGTATTTATTTTCATTGTTATCACTGTTGCATAGAAGCTTTAGTATTGTGAAGAGAATAGATATTAAGTATTCTCACCCCACAGAAAAAAAAAGAATAACTATGTGAAGTGATAGATATGTTAAAATAGCTTGACTGTGGTAATCATTTCAAACTTCTATGTGTATCAAATCATCATTTTATATACCTTAAATATTTACTATTTTTATTTGTCCATTATACCTCAATAAAGGTGGATAAAAAACTGAAATAACTTAAAGATCTCAAGAAGTAAATAACAATAATATCAGACATTTTAAATTATTTGAAGAATAAGATGGGGTGAATAAACAGTTCAATTAAAAAAACTTTAATGTGAAAATTAAAAGAGGGGAAAAGAGGACAACATTAAATCACTTTAACTGTTTGGTCTCATCTGCTCACGCTTCAAAGGCAAAGGTTCAAATGTGATGAGATCAGTTGCTTGGCAACTTTTCAGAATGGTAATGTTCCCCATCAGCTTTCCCTTTGGCTCTTCAAGACTCTTTGCACTTGCTATTCCATCACACCACATTCCTATGCAGAGAA